AACTGTGTATTTGCAGAAAGTATTTCCAAATTCTTCAATATTGCAGAACACTGCAAAAAAAAGTATTTCTTCCACTCTGAGTGATGCAGAAAAACTAACATGATCATACAACACTTACTGAAGTCAGCAGACTTTGGCTCACACCACACATCAAAACCTTCTGTGTATTCACGGCTCCCGTCATGGTTGATGCCTGCCTCTCCACAACCCTCCCGAGCCGTGTGGATTGGATGAGACACAGTGGCATCCTCTAACCAGCCATACCTGCACATACAGATGATACCAGTTTAGTCACCTCTGACACTGATGAGCATGTAGAAAGATCTAGATAGACCTACAAGTAATGGTTATTGCAGTTGCCAAAGCTGGTCCAACCATGGTGTTCTTTACACAAAACTGATGCTGAAAAAACAGGAATGAAACTAGAAAGGCCAATATTTGCTTTGGAGCAAATACAGCGATGGCTTCACCACATTTCACGACATGGCAGGGAAAGAATGAGAAACACAAGGGAAAACAATGATTTACATTGATATAACTATAATATGAAGTAACATACAACTAAAACAACAGTTGGATAGCTATTCCTTACATTATTGGTTAGGATTTTTAATTGCATAATGCAAACTGTTGATTTAAAAAAAAAAAAACGTTACATGCCCCGCATTCCAATGCTGGAGCAGGAAAGCTTGAAATACCTACCAAAACACTTGAATACAGACATACTGTCAGTATGGAAATGCTTCTGTGCAGGTGTTAATCAAGTTAAATCCCAACAGCCAATCAGCAAGAAGTATAGAGGAAAGCTGCATGCCTATTGGTTGATGCCCTGCATTCCATTGTGATGACTCATGCCCAAACGTGGTAAACAAGGCAAACTAACACAGTAATACATTTGCTATAACACAGCCAAAAAACTCAAATAAAACCATTCTAAAAGCCTGTATCACAATAATTTAAAAAACGCCTAGGGGTATTTGCCCACTGTACCTCCATACCAAATTTCAGGACCTTAGGCCCTAAAATGAAGAAGCTGAATCCATTTAAAAAATGGCAGGAGAAGGAGAAGAAGGAGAAGAAGGAGAAGAAACATCAGAAAAAGCAATATGGTTTCACCACACCACTTCGTGGTGTGGTGAACCCATAACTAGGATTGTTAACACTTTGCCAAACTATGCCAGCTATCAGCACCCTCTAGCACATTAGATTAGAACTGCAGCTGTCCTGACCAAATCAACTGAACCATCAGAGGCTAAAGCTACCTGCAGATGTCCAGGCCATGGCGCCAGGTGAAGCTCAGATCTTCCCACGATGCAACACGAGCTCCGACAGACTCACACCTTGCCTTCGCATCAAGGAAGGTGACAGATGATGCAATTTGGTTTCCAGGGTATAAGAACACATGGCCTGTGAATGTAACACAGTTAAGGGTAAAAAAGGTTCAAGATTCAGGAGTTGTACCAAATCATCTGCTGTGTACTTGTCTATGGTGTCTATAAATGTACAACCAAAGGTTGGCAATTCTGGTTGAACAATATAAGGTATAGAATATATAAACCTTTCCTTTTAAATCTTTATATTGTTCAAAATCTGTAGTTAAAACTTAGTGAATATGAATAGTGATGACACACACATATTATGTTAGCCAAAATTAAATACGAAAGAAACCCACCACAGTCATCCTCATCACTGTTGTCCCCACAGTTGTTGATGGAGTCACATACCAGCCAGTATGGGATGCACAACTTGTTGCTACAGGTGAACTGTTTCACTGAATCACAGGCTGGGAAACAACAACAACAACATAACTCTTTAATATGGGATGTTGGGATTTCTTAAAAAAAACTGCAGTTATATAGACTGTGTTCATGATCAATAAACAATCATTCTAAATTCAACAATATTGGTAGTCCCACTCCATAGCCATCACACGTGTGTAATACATGAGTTTTCACAGTCACACGTACAAACACACACACACACACCATGTGCAAAACTCTCTGGGTATACAAGTGCACCTTAGAATAAGGTCTAAAACCAAACAAGGAAAAAAGTGATGAAAATAAAGCAACTGATGCTGCTCATACAAATCCAAAATCCATCTCAAACCATTGTTACCTAATTCAGACCAGGCTGCTTAGACTGCATGTATGATGATCCCACATGCAATATGAACGTATCTCTTAAGCTACATTTTTTATTGGGGTATATTGA